AGTTGGTTCATGCCCCCCTCCCCCCCTCTTTTCAACTTCCTCTTCCCGTTGAAAGTTTTTCCGGGGTATTCATGCTTTGTCAGAACGCATAGTTACACAACATGCGTCTGTGCATGGCACATAATTACGCGATGCGTAGTTTATGCACACGGGGAGCTGAGTGACAAGACGTTTTTTGGGCAAGCTTCCGCTTCTTACTGTGTTCGAATGGACCCAGTGAGGCGAGGACCACATCGGCTTCGCCCTTTACCCACTAAAGCGAAGGCCTTAAAGGGCGAAGCTTATACGACATAAAACGTTGGTTACGTACTGTAACCCCAGATTCTATGAGTATAAGCGTAGCCCTTTAAGCGTCGGGCCTCACTGGCTCCTAAATGGCTGAAGAAAAAGCTATTTTGGGAGCCGATTTCCCGCTCTTAACGTAATTTATACGGACCGGGTGGGGCCCACACAGCAGGTGGGCGTGGACTAATTTTTTCAGTGCTTATGCTCTGCATAACGGGATAAACCCACTAAAGCGAAGGCCTTAAAGGGCTACGCTTATACTCATAGAATCTGGGGTTACAGTACGTAACCAACGTTTACCAACGTACTTGCTTGAATTAGGATTTTTTTTTTTCCGTTTTTTTCTTTGTTTAGCACAAATAAACAATAATAAGATTAAAGTTAGGTTAGCTCAGATGTTAGCTTTAGCTCAGTTTACACTCGTCACTTTTGTCGTTCTTCAAAACCTCAAATTTACATGAGAGAAACTTTCAGAACAACGTTCTTTCGATTTAAGGTGGGGGGTATTTACATTTAGGGGCTGCAGTTGCTCTGTGGTCAGTACCACGGTCTTATAATTCTGAGGTTGCAGGTTCAAGCCCACGTTACTTCAGGAAGGGCATCCGCTCGCTGTGGTGACCCCTGAAGAGGGAGCAGCTGAAAGAAACGCTTTTATTTACATATTTACATATAAACAAATCACCAAATGTGTTATGGTTGAAAAATTCTAATAATTTTATGACAAAATGGTGTTTTGAGTGATGAATCATGAAACTGATTGAATGAGAAGGGGGTCTCTGCAGACCAAAAGTGGGCGTTTCTGGCGAATAGGCGTTTATGGGCGGCGAACACTGATTGGCTAACAGTATTTAATAGGCGTTTGTCGGCGGCGAACACTGATTGGCTGTGGGTAACCCTCAAAGTCACGAGTCATTGATGAGGTAACGTTTCTTTGCGATGTTTGACAAAGAAATATGGTTTATTGTACTTATAAAGTATGTTATGTTTTCACTTATGCATTTTATTGAAGTACGTTTATTGTAGGTCACGATAGTTTCGACCGTTCTCTCGTTGTTGTCGTAACGCACTGAGGTAACGTGAGCCTCCACTCGGCTCCTTTTCAAAATAAAAGCTGAAAATAAAAGTTCTTAATACTTGAAAAATAAATATTTAAAAGCTGTGTATAACTGAAAAATATGAAAAAAATAAAATAAAAGTTGTTATTAGCTGAAAAATAAATAAATAAAAGCTGCTAATTATATACATGTCTTTCTGCCATGTCAGGGACCACTCTCACTTCAGACTGACTCTAGAAGACCCCAAGATGTTGCCCAACAATGTTGACCAACATCTGATGTTGACTTTCATTACTCAATAATGAGTAATAACTTATTCAATAAAAAGTCTGTAATTTGTCAATAATAGTCAATAATTCATTCAAGAATAGATTATGGGTGTTTGGTATGGCTCAGTGGCTAAAATGGGTTGGATGTTAGAGAAATTACTTAATTTTCAATTACCTGAATGCACAAATTCCTTCATTTATAGTTAAACTTTAGGAAATCAACTTTTTTTTTCTTGTGAAAAAAATATCAAAATTAACTTTAAAATCCAATCCAGGATTAAGCAACAACTAGCAACACCCTAACTGTACTATGTTCTGTGTTTCCAACAGATGCTACGATGACTTCTAAAAATGGATGTCCCAATAAACACAATAAAAAAAAATTCAATGATGCATCAAATGTTGTCTGAGTATGTTTTAAGGTAATAACAAATGTGAAATCTGGAAAACAAAGAGAATTCCTGAATCTGTCTTGTGTGCTTTGATGTGTACATAAGTTTATTGGAGGTCCTGAAACAACTTTTCTGAGAACACAAAGATTTTTATTGTACCTTTGGCCAAGATGTCAGTTTGAAATCAGGCTGCTTACTGCAAAACCAAGAGGTTTTTTAAGACGGTCTTCATTTGTATTGTTTTGTCGACTATAAGCTAAATGTAATTTCTAAAATATGGATAAATCTGATCTCATCATGCAGCTTGAGCAACTGGGTACAGGTGTGAGGGCCAAAAGTCTGGTTATGTACTGACTCCTAAATGTGCTTGTTTTCTACTGAAACATGGAGTAGGGTTGACCTTTAAAATGTGAAAAAGCTGATGAAATTAACCAGTAAACAGAAATACCTGCTCCAGTTGCAGAAATCTTACAGAACCTGACAGTCACTCATCTGTAGTGACTGCAGGTTGAACAAGAAAATGTGAAGTTAAAGGAAACATCCTTTGTCCCAAGGCCAGTTTAAGTATCATTAATATTTTTCTTTCTTTATGAATCGATTGTAACTTTGTTCACATTTTTCAACAACCAAAATGGAATTTGTTTTTTTAATGTTATGGCTAGGTATTAAAAAAAAACCTAACATTTAGCTCTCCCCACTACCCAGTTATGTTGCTCTTATTTTGAAATGTAACCGGAAGTTCTGTGTTAAGAGAGTCGAAAAAAGAAGTTATGGAGACGCCGCGGCAGTATACTGGAGCAATGTCGAACCGAGACGCCGCTAATGTCGAACCGGTTAACACCATAGACATAATATGCATGTGGTTAACACAATCTGCCAATAACGCCTTGTTTTTAGACATCATGTGTCTGTGGTTACGGCATTTTATCGTTCAGCCTTTTTTTTTCTATCGTTCAGCCTTTTTTTTTCTATCGTCCAATCAGATGTGGCCGTCCAGACACGCCCATTTTTCTATCGTCCAATCAGATGTGGCCGTCCAGACACGCCTATTTTTCTATCGTCCAATCAGATCCGGCCGGCCAGAAACGCCTACTTTCCTATAGTCCAATCAGATATGAGCGCCCAGATACGCCCACTTTCCTATAGTCCAATCAGATATGAGCGCCCAGATACGCCTTCCGAATTTGCCTGCAGAGACCCCTTCTTGGATTGAATACTAAAATTTGAAGAAATTACTCTGTTGAAACTAGAATAAAGCAAAAATAAACGCTGCTTTATTTAATTTCAAATTTAAACCCTCTTTTTTATGTGATTCAACACAATCTGCTGGCTTCCTTAGATACAAAACTTTTACTAATTGGCTTTTATAATGTATATGAATGTTTCTGTTCAGTGCTGAGATGACTTCTGTTGTTACTTGGTGCTTTATAATTAAACTGAATTTAATTGATTTTTTTTTTCCCTTAAAATATTATTCTGGAAGAAAGTTCAGGTTTTCCAGTTAAACTCCTAAAGACAAATCGGTCCAAACAGAATGAACGTTGTCTGTGTTGGGGGATGAACACTACACAATAAATCTAAAAAAAACCAACATTCTTCACATATTCAGAATACCCAACCATATACCGTATTTTCCAGCGTAAAAGTTGCTCTAGAGTATACATCGCATCAGTCAAAAAAGCATAATGAAGAGGAAAAAAAATTATACAAGTCACTTTGGAGTTTAAGTCACATTTATTATGCATCACCTCTGACCCGCTGCGTTTATTATGCATTTATTTAATGGTCAAAACAGCTTCATTTCGCCTGAGCGGCGCAGAGCCATCCCATTCATCCATCCATTGCGGCTGGAGCCGCTAGCTCTCCAGCGTTCCTCCGCCTGCACCACCTGAGTGAAGTGAGGGCACATGGGAGGACTCGCTGTTGCAGTTCTTAGAAATTTAACAAGATTAACACTTAAAAACAATTATTTGCACAACATTATAGCAAAGGTGTGTCTCAGTTTAACTTTTGCATAATAAATGCACTTTAATGGTCAAAACAGCTGCATTTCGCCTTGGTGCTGCGGTGCCATCCATCCAATTATCCATCCATCCAACCATCCATCCATCTATTCATCCATCCATCCAACCATCCATCTATCCATCTATCCAACCATCCATCCATCCATCCATCCATCCATCCTTCCATCCATCCATCCATCCAACCATCCATCCATCATGGCTGGAGCCGTGAGCTCTCCAGCGTTCCCCGGCCTGCACCAGCTGAGTGAAGCGAGCGCACATGGGAGGTCTCGATGTTTCAGTTCTTAGAAATTTAAAGCGTTAATCAAAAATTGCGTTATGAATATAAAAAAATGCGTATGTCACTTCAACACACAAGTCGCAGGACTGACAACTTTTGCAAAAAAAAAAATGCAACTTATACGCCAGATAATACGATAGTTTATATTTGCTTATCGTGCACATATTAAGCAAGTATTCTGTGAAAATAGAGAAAAAAATCTAAAGATTAAGATTCGACAGGTTTAAAAATATGTAATGTTTTATATTATAAATGTATAATTTAAAGATTATTTGAATAAAACTCCAGTGTAACAAAAAAAAAAAAAGTCGGGGGGAAAAGAGTGAAAACTTTTTGACTCGATAAACTTGGCTTTTTCTTTGAACTTGTTTTACTCTGATAATTATCTAGGCTGTGTGTTTATCATGAGAAGCACCAAACATGCATTTATTTTCCTCACGATAAGCTGCAGTGTGCACGCAGCTGTTCTTAGAAAGATGTATAAAGCACCAACCTGTCTTGAGTGTTAATTAAAGGTGTTTTGACAGACTTATCCACAGGTCTAGATGTGTGTGTTCTATTTATTTATTTATTTATTTTATAAATATAACAAGCCACACAGAGATATAATAGTTGTGTAAAAAGCATTGGTGTTTATTTTCAAGTAATTTAAATGAGAATGTAAAGTTGGGAAATTTGCCTGCTTGTGTTTATAGGTCCATCATGACAGACTTGTACTACCTCAGCCAGGCCGACGGAGTTGGTGATTGGAGAACGAAGGAAGCTAAAGACCTGTCGGATCTGGTCCAGAACCGAATCACTTACCTACAGGTATCTACAGACTCCCCCGCTGCATGCCAGCTGGCTGCCGTTGTTTAGACAGACTTGCATTGTGTGCGTTCAACCAAGTGTCTCCCTCACGCACATAAGCACATGTGCATTATTGGTGGTTCACACTTCCTTGTCTCATTTGCACCATCTCTATCTGCCAGCGTCTGTCTCCACGAGTGGTAAGTAAAAGGAACCAAAGCAGAAGGTTTCAGCGGTTGCATGTGACAAGCTGGTTTCTTATTATTTGTCTGTGGGTTAGTGCTAAACACACACTCACACATACGGCAAAAACAAACGCGCAGAGAAACTAAATGACGGATCTGCAGACATGCAGTTAAAAGACAAACAATCATACGCTCAATGAGACTTGGACAGACGCACGTTTACCTTCGTAAACATCACCTGACTTTCAGGACTCGTTCTCTTACCCCAGCTCCCCTCCTTTCCCAGCTCTGATGCTACCGGGTTTTTCAGCGGGCGGCACGGCAGCGGGTCCTGCAGCATTAATGAGCCGATGTGTTTGATGAAGAGGACCCAGTCAGTCTAGCTGGGCGGAGACAGCACCACTAACAGCTGCTGTCACCACTGCTGAGGGATCACACGGCTCCACCAGCTGCCATCACTAATTCATCACACACAGGCGTGCACAGATGGATTCCCATACACCTAAGCGAGCAGTCGCCGCATACAAACGTGCAGGTTCAGCCACGAGATTGATGCACGTAACTCGTATGCAAAGTCTGTGTTTGTGTGAGTGTTTCTGTCACACATGCAGCTATATGTACGCGCGGAGACAGACAGGCTCCTCCCCCTCCCGTGCTGCCGTCTCTGCCGCCCGCAACAGCTTCAGCCTTCATTCCTGATTTAACGAACTCCTTCTCTGCGTCTGCTCCATCTGTCCACTCACGACTTTCAGTAACCATGGCGCCTTCTGATGGGGTTGTTTTTCTGTTTTTTTTACAGGGAGCCTTTTCATCGTGGCATTTATTAGTGGTGCACAAAATCGTGTTTATGCTTTGGTTTTGTTTTGCAACAGACCCAGTCTTTTTAATACACTTCTTTAGTGCTTTTTGTCATTTTGTCCACATTGAAACTTACACAGTCATAATTTTAAATTGTGTACCCATGTTTACATATTTTTACAGTAATTTACAGGTAGTCACAACAACAACCTGTTGTACTGTCTTTCAGAGCTTACATATGTTAGTTATGAATACAAAGTGTGTTTCTAAAAGACTTCCAGCTTTAAACGCATAGAAACACTTTTTTTTTTGTTATTATTAAAATATCTACAGACACAGCACTGTTTCCAGACATGTTTTCATCCAATGGAAACGCAGAAAATTATCAAAATGCTGTATTAGCCATGCCAGGCCTGTATGTGGTGCTGTACGGCTGCCACGAAAATACCATAAACAGAAAGCAAAGCATGGAGCATGTGCACAATGATTAGACATTAGGTACTAACTAAACAGAAAAAAGACAACAGAGGCAAATAATACTGGTGGGTCAAAAACTAAATCTTTATCGGCTCATTGAATTAACACGGTATACAAAGGTTTTTCTGTAGTTGAGCAGCTGATATCTTTAAGCTTATAGTCTCTCGTTGTTGTTGCGTCAGTCATGCTTTGAGTCGTAGGATAGGCAGGATCTAGTGCTATGACATCGTTTTCATAAGGTCGTGTCTTGGTTGTCTAATCAAAAACACAAGTGGCGTTTCAAGATTTTTTTCACTTTGAATCTCGTTTTCTAAAAACACTATTTGGGGGCTCCTAAAATGCTGTTTCTGTGTGGACAAGAATGAAACGATGAGAAACTTCCATGTATTCAAAATTCCGCTCCATATGGAACAAGCCTTAGTCCCATACAAAGGAAACAAACTACACAAATAACAAGTAATACTACGCATCAGAAGAACCGTAATGGAATACAAGACATCAAACTGCTCTTGCAGGAACATACCATTAAAACGAGCAGTAGTCCCTCGCTACTTCGCGGTTCGTTTATCGCGGACTCGCTCTATCGCGGTTTTTCAAACTAAGATTGGACATGACACGATTGGCTGATTGATGGATGAGCCGCACGAGCAGCATGGAAATTTTATTTAAAACAAATTATTTTGTTAGCACCTGCTGCACATTTGTGCAGCCCATACTGCAGGATAAACTTCCTGCTGCAGCTGATCAGCTGTTTGCCGTGCAGAGCGGTGAAGTGGGCGTGGCCAAGAGCACTTGCAGGTGGCAGAGGAGGATGGAGCTGAAATCATGACATGCTGTGCTCTTTTAGAGCGTTTAGAGTTTAGAAACATTGTTTAGAATATTGCAAGTGTGGGAAGGGTTTAAAACGCCTTTATATATATATATATATATATATATATATATATATATATATATATATAAAATAAAAATAAACTACTACTTACTACTTTTGATAATATTCCTACTTCTTGATTTTTCACTTTTTGCTGGTCTTCAGGGTACAGATCCCCCGTGATAAACAAGGGACTACTGTAGTAGAATTGTGCAAGGTGCAAAAAACAAAGTGTTGGCTATAATTCAGAAAATTATAATAAGATTGTAAGATTCTGAGCATCCTCTTGATTGTATTTTGTGATAATTGACCTTTGAAAATGGTACTAAACCCATTGTGGAAGTTAGCGTTCATGCACATTAACCAGTTTCTCCAAATAAAATGTTTTCACACTTTCAGCTGTTAAAATAATTTACCACTGTGCACTGCAGGTGTTTCTTCCTAAAAGGGCATCAGAGGAAAATGTAGAACCTGTAATGGGATGAATATTATTCTGTGAACAGCTGAAGCTGTTTATATGACGGAAGGTTCTCCGCTAACACAGCAAAGCAGCACAGAAATATCCTTTAATTAAATGTCTCTAAACGTCTTGAAGGCAGGGAATGTTGGGAAGCACAGTGACCTGAGGTTATTGTGCTGTCAGATTCACTTGTTCTCAGCTGTAATTCCTAAATCAATAATATCACTGTGGTCAATCGCCATGTGTTTCTCTTTCAAAAGGAATACTTATTCAAGAGGTACTTAACCGACAGTGAGCACCCAGCAGTACTGAGTGGCTGCCTGTGCACCCATCTGGTGCCATTATCCTTGGACCAAACCGCTCAGCGCTTCAGTGTCATTCCAGCTACACCATTAGCAACCTGGGATCCAATGGTGGCCTTTTCTCCTCATGATTCATGCCATGAAATAATCTCATGCAGATACAGTGGCGGCTACACAGAAAGCAAGCTCTGCAGAGGCCCCTTTGTGTTCACATGTCACTGTAGATTATCTGTGGGTTAGTTTACACCTGAGGGGCGAGGGGTGAACTGGCAGCCTGTAACTAAGAGGAAATACTTTTGTGGATTGTTCTGTCAGCTCAGCAGGCTGTTGATCTCTGTTATTGAACAGCAGGAGTGCTAATCAGCTTCGTGCACCTGAAAGATCCTCTCATCTTTTTGCTCTAAACTTTAATTCCCCTTATTTATTTTTTTATTTCATCTCCCTTTTTTTTTTTCTTCTTCCTTATTTCCCTATTCCCCTTCCTCATCTCCCACTAGTGCATGCTAGGCAGAGTTAGCCGGTGGGTGTTGGGCGCCCTGATTACTGTGAACTATTCACAGCTGCAGCAGCCTAATGAGGAAAACACTCCCATCAGCGAGTAATTGCTGTTCAGGAAGCTGGTTGGCACGAGCCATTCAGTCGTTCAGACCAGCCACGGAGCAGATCACAACCGCCTGACAAGTCGTCGTTATCGCAGCGTGTATCTGTCGATGCCAGCTTTCTGTGTTCGTAAAGTAGACAGCTTATTGTTTCATCACCAGCTCCTCACATTTTGCATTCTTGCCGTCAGAAATGATGATACCGAAGCTAATTTTGGAGTTGATTAATTGAGAGCATGTTGGGGAAAGAGAAGCTGGGAGGAAAAATGAGTAAAAACTGTAAAGAACAAAGGCTGATATTTTCAGTGTGAGCTTAAGAAAAAGGCAGTAAATAGAAAAATACAGGCATTGTTGTGAATGATTTAAAGGATGCAAAAGCAACAAAAAGCAGATTAAGGCAGGAGAGATATTAAAGGATAAAGCTGGCAGGATTTTCTGTTTTTGTCTTATTGTTTAGAAAATTCAAGAAAAGAAGAAACTCGGTTACTGAGTCAGTTTCTTTGTGGCATTCAGCCTTTTAAAATAAAACTGCAGTCTTTTTTTTTTTTAATGGCTACTAAAGAGCACTCTGTTATTGTTTTTATCAAATATCACCCAAACAAGAGCCAACTGTGGATTTTCTTAGTATTATATTCTAAAAAGTGTCATTATGGACCATTAAATATTTATTTGAATCTATTTTTGTTGGAGAAACAGAGCATTGTGACTCATTACTGAACAACAGTTAATACTCCTTCTTTGACTACCTAGAAAATACTTTAAAAAAACAACTTAAAATTACAAAAAAATAGTGGAATTTCATATTTTACCATTTAAAAGGAGCAATAAGATACAAAAATGGGTAAAGCTAAATTTATTGAAATGATCAAGTTGGAGGAGCTCTTATTACTTGTCACTGCATTTTTATCTTAGAGTTTCAGAAAAAAAATTGTTTTATGTTGAAAAATGTTTGTATTTTTCTAAGATAGATTGGTGTTGGTAGACATTTTGAATTGAAATCCAAAAGGTAACCAGTTATAGATTTACAGTAGTCCCTCGTTTATTGTAGGGGTTATGTTTCAGACCACCCCCCACCCCCCACCCCCCCGCAATGAGTGAAAAACTGCGAAGTAGGAATGCTACATTTATTTTAGTATTTATATATATATTAATGCTTTATAAACCATTCCCACACTCTTGCAATGTTCTAAACTCTTAAACCTACATAATTTTAACAACATGCATATATGTACTGTACAGTACTGCAAAATGTTATATGGGTACTAACCAGCCTTGGTCCGGTTCTGATCGGCTCTCTGCAGACCGTGAGCACCAAGATGCTTTTAGAAAGAGCCGGACCTTTGGATAGCCAGCACAAAACCACACAATGATCCCGATCGAGTCCAAATCTGGATGAAAAAGTCCCAGTGAACTCCGGAGAAAACACCGGACGTCCAAGCAACTCCTCCTCACTTGAGAGGCCTCATGGGCCAGCAAGCAGCGCTCAGGTTGGCTGATGAGGCTGGAAGTCCGGCTCTGGTCCAATTCCCGGTCGGTTCCGTACAGCCCTCTGCATCCGCTGAGCACCGAAGTCACTGAATAAGGACCAAACTTTTTTTGATCGGATCAAAACTTTCCCCCCATTTCTTTACTTCTTCTTTACTTCCCTTGTTAAAAAGGCAAAATCCCAGTTTCATGTTGATAAAACTACTCAAAATTTAAATGATCCCAAGAAATTTTGGAAAGTGATTAAATCCTCATTCGGAGATTAAATATCTAGCGAATTACCTACTTGTATTATTAAGGATTCACAAAACATAACTGATAAAGTAGCTGTTCTTAATTGTTTCAATGAACATCCTGATGCATGCTCAATAATCCAGGTAGAAAAATCCAAAAAAAGTTCAATCTGGTCCTCTGGACATTCAAAAAACAAAACAAAGCAAAAAAAATTTAGATGCGTTTCGTCTCTCATCCGAGAGACTTCCTCAGTCTGAGGTGCTGTGTTCAGCTCAGTCTCTTAAATAGCACCTTCTCATAGTGGATCAACCAGTTTGCTGCTGACAACCAAAACCATGTGAGCAGCTTTTTTGTTTTTTTGAATGTCCAGAGGACCAGATTGAACTTTTTTGGACGTTTTAATGAACATTTCATTTCCTCAGGATCCTTGTTTGAATCATTGCTTCCACAGAGGCTAAATGTGCAAGATTATTTATCTCAAGCACACTTGAGTGATTCAGTTCAAGGATTTAGCTTTGCCCCTTTTGATGTAACTAAAGTTCATAGAACTTTACAACAATTAGATCCTTGTAAATCTGCTGGACCTGACAAACTCGAGCCCTTTTTTTTTAGGGCAGCTGCAGACTTTATAGCAGAACCTCTATGTTACATCTTTAACTTAACTCTTGCTGAAAGTAAGATTCACTGGATATGTAAATCTGCCTATGTTCTTCCCTTGTTAAAAGGTGGCAATCCATCTGTAGTCCACAACTACAGACCGATCTCTAAATTGTGTGTACTTTCCAAAGTTCTGGAAAAATTGATCGCAGAACAGCTGAAAACATATTTAGATTCAAGAGGCCTACTCTCACAACACCAATCAGGTTTTTGAAAAAAGCACAGTACAACAGCTGGTGCTCTTAAAGTGGTAAATGACATTATAGATGCCCTAGATGGCCGAAAATATTGGGCAACTCTTTTTGTTGACCTTTGTAAAGCGTTTGACACTGTAGATCATGTCATCCTGATGAATCGACTCTACAAAAGTGGGTTATCTGTCCAGGCTGTTAACTGGTTCTCCAACTATTTATCTGATAGAACTCAATGTGTCCAAGCGGCTGGGTCTTGTTCTTCCCTCCTTCCTATTTTAAAGGGAGTGCCTCAAGGCTCCTGACTAGGTCCTTTGTTGTTCACTGTGCGATAACTTGCCTGATGCTAAAGCTCATCTATATGCTGATGATACAGTTATTTATTGTTCATCATCTTCAGTTTCACAATCGGTTAAACTGCTGCAATCTGCATTTGATACTGTTCAGTCCCGTCTGGCTGAGCATAAGCTGGTTTTGAATGCAGAAAAATCAAAGGCTATGCTACTTTAAAATGGTAAGCGGCTTCCACCTATCCCCCCCAGCTTGTTAACTGTTCAAGGGGCTGAAATTGAAGTTGTCAGGTGCTACAAATATTTAGGTATTCTGATTGATGAGAATCTATCCTTTAACTTTCATATTGATAAACTGGTTTCTAAACTAAAACTTTAATTGGGTTTCTTTTTTAGAAACAAAAAGTGTTTCTCACACCAAGTCAGAAGGCACCTGATTGTTTCAACTATTCTGCCCCTGGTGGATTATGGAGATCTGCTATTTATGAACTCTTCAGCCCAGCTTTTGAAAAAATTGGATGCTGTATCTCATTGTGCCCTCCGTTTTATGACTGACTGTGGCTATCAAACACATCACTGCACTTTGTATGCTACAGCAAAATGTCCCTCTTTGACTGACCGCAGACTTTTTCACTTGTTGGTTTTTATTTATAAATGCATCCTTGGGCATCTTCCTACATATTTATGTTCACTTTTATCTAGAACTTTTAACCATTATAGTCTGCGTTCTCAGGACATCATTGTGATGCAGGTCCCAAAGGTCAGAACTGACCTGGGTAAAAAGGCTTTTAAATCTTTCGCCCCTGCCACTTGGAATATTCTGCAGAAGGATTTAAAGTTATCGTCTCTTGTTACGTTGGGACAATTTAAATCAATTCGAAAGGAACGAGAGATCAGATCACTTGGCTCCTGTAACTGCTCTAATGTGTAATTATGTGATTTCTCCTGGATATGTATTTTGTCTACAGTGAACCCTCGTTTTTCACTGGGGTTACGTTCCAAAAAGAACCCGTGATAGGCGAAATCCGTAAAGTAGTAACCTTTATTTTTTTACAATTATTATATAATGAAATACTCCATAATACATTCAAACCAAAGAGCAAAACCTTTTCACAGGCCCAAGCATTTGTTTAACAAATAAAAGTACTGTATAAACGTTTTTTTTTACAAATAACTACTGTACTGGAGAGACTGTTTAGCCAATCAGAATGCAGAACACAATGCACGATGCAAATCCGTGAAGCAGCGAGACCGTGAAAGGTGAACCGCGTTATAGTGAGGGTTCACTGTATTTGGTTTAGTTTTTTTAATTTGCTGTATGTTTTATGCTGCTGTCTTGGCCAGGTCACTCTTGGAAAAGAGGGTTTTAATCTCAATGAGTTATTTTTCCTGGTTAAATAAAGGATACATACATACATACATTTCAGCAGAAAGCTATGGCTGGAAGCTGTTGGGGCTTCTGGGTAGTGTAGTCTTTTTGAGTGGTGATACAATTTAGGGTAATTGAGAGAAAACTACAAAATGGTGGCACCTGTCATAAGTATTGTTTTTTTCTCGTTAATTTTACTGTATCCTGTACTGTCCCAATCACGTAACATTAAAGTTGACAAGCGTGTGTCATGTACAATCTTTTTTTTTTTTTTCTTTTTTTTTATTTGTACAATCTTACTTTGAAAAACCGCGAAAGAGCTAGTCCGCAAAAGTCGAGCCGCAAAGTAGCGAGGGACTATTGTACTGTGCATCCAATGATCACTTTCCTCAACTGTCATTAACATTTTTTCCAGTGGTTCATGAGATATTTTGCCAGCAGGCAAACACACAGATAGGGAAGAGACATTAATGTTCACTTTTCACTTTTGGCGGCAGGTGAAAAATAAAAGTAAACTGACAAAAAGCACAACCACACGACGAAACATTAGGTTTCAAGATGAGACCGTCAGTGCAAACAAACAAAATATTATTTTATGTGTTATTAAAAGTCAGAGAGCAGGTCTCCTGGAGATGCAAGGTGAAAGACGAGCAATGAAAAATGTTGAAATATTCTTTTCTCCTCTCCTTCCAGAACCCCCCAGATTGCAGCAAGGCAAGAAAACTGGTGTGTAACATCAATAAGGGCTGTGGTTACGGCTGCCAGCTGCACCATGTCGTCTACTGCTTCATGATCGCTTATGGCACCCAGCGCACGCTCATACTGGAATCACACAACTGGCGCTATGCCCCTGGCGGCTGGGAGACGGTCTTTCTGCCGGTCAGTAACACTTGCACTGACCGGTCTGGAGCTTCCACAGGACACTGGTCAGGTGGGTACAGAATGAGATCCACTCGTGTGAATGTTTATGAGCGTTCACGCTATTATGATCCGTTTTTCTTCTGTACGTTTTTCAGCATCTTTCTCGTTCCACAATTTTTGTGCTTTTTCACCAATTCATATATCAAAATGTTGATATATGAATTGTTATATTTAATTTAATATTATTAAATTTAATATTATTGTTATATTTAATTGTTATTCTCTCTTGTTCAGGAGAAGGGTGCTATGACTTTTGGTATTTGTACAACTTTAGCTGTTTGCGATATTTAGCCTTTTCTGACATTTTTTTCATAGGAAATGAATTAAGCTCATATGACATCTTTCAAATCTTTAGATCTGTTTACATCCTTTTACTGCTCCTTTCACATTTTGTTTTGGTTCAGCTTCTTTCAGCTTCCTTGTGCAAATTTAAACTTTTTTCAGCTGATTTCAGCTGTTTTTTCAGCTGTTTTATGCTCCTTTTAGATTATTTCTGCCAACTACAATATTTTTGTGCTTCTTCTAACTTCTTTCTGCTAATTGCAGCTTCTTATGCTCCTTTCAGCTTATTTCTGCAAGTTTCAGCTTTTTCTGCTATTTTAGCTACTATTTAGCTGTTTTTATGTTAATTTGAGCTTTTTCAGCTAATTGCACATTTCTTTTACACTTGTTTCAACTTTTTTGAGCCTAATTCAGCAAAAATGTGCTCTCTCTCCACTTCTGTATGGTAATTTAAGCTGCTTTCTTCTATATTCACTAATTTTCACCCTTTTTTTTTTAATTTCAGCTTTTTTATGCTTATTTCTGCTTATATGTGTTATTTCTGCTTTCTTCTGCTAAGTTTTGGTTGTTATTAAATTTCAGCTACATTTCCGCGCACTTTAGCTGCCAGCAGCAGGTTAAGTTACACTTTGTACATTTCGCTGCCAAATAACTCGGACTAAACTACCACTCGCAACCCAATGTCTTGTCTTTGCTTTTAGTCTTGGACAGTTTTTGATTTTTCATTTCCTGAGTATACACTGCATACATTTTAGCACAGATTTAGCAGATGTAAATTTATATAACCCTAGCAGATTTAAAAAGTTGGGATTCTACTTGTTTTTCTCCTTAACTGCAGCAGTGACTGGGTGGAAGATCTTATATGCTTTTATTTGTTTAAATCTTTATTTTACCAGGAAAGAAATCCATTGAGATTATTAATCTGTTTTACATGGATGTTCTGGGCATTGTGCAAAGTGCAAACAAACCATTACAAACACAGCAACAGTCGTAATAACGGTAACAGTAGTATTGAAATATTTACAACAAAACATCCGGTAATAAGACATAAGGTGCAATGCAAGTTTTAAAAAGATAACAGATTAACACACTTAGACTTTACAGGTGCAAGATGTGACTAAGTTTTTGTTTAAAACTAGATAAAGGAATAAAAGACTCCAACCTCAACTTAAGCTGCAGGTCATTCCAAGACCATGGGCCGAAACGGAACAAACTCATCCTTCCTGACTCCGTGCGCACAAAGGGAACCTTAACCCGCAGCCAGCTACTGGCCCTGAGACTGTGTTCTGTAGGGAAATTAACTTGAAGTAGATATATGATGGTAATTTTCCTAAAAATTTTTTTTTTTTCATTTAGCCTTTATTTATCCAGGTTAGTCTCATTGAGCCACGAGAACTCATTTTCAAGAGAGACCTGAATGGCTTTGTATATGAAAATATACCAATGCTTCATACTTCGAATATTGAGTAAAGTAAGTCCAGCAAGGGTATATAAAGTACAATGGTGGGTCATAAAGGGTGAACCTGTTCTATACCTAAGAGCAGCATAGTAAATGGGCTCCAGTTTAGCTAAGGTAGTGGGGGAGGCAAATCTGTAGAATGTGTCGCCATGTTCCAGCTGTGATTTAAAACAAACTTATAACAAGCTGCTTACAGGAAGAAAAAGTGGCCGTGGCCATGTGTTACACAGTTCCAGTTTCTGTCCGTAAGGCTGGCACACCGTCCAGTTTTAAGACTGGGCTTAAGAGTTCTTGATAAATCCTATAGTTAGGGTTGGCCTGTTATGCTGCTATAGGCTTAGACCACTAGAGGACAAATTGAACTAATTTCCTTAAATGATTTAATAAAACTGAATGGTTTTCATTGATACTAAATCTATCTTATGTGATTCTCGACCTGCCATTGTGTATCTGTTCCTACCAAACCCAGCCGGTCGAAGCAGACGGACACTTGTCCTGAGCCTGGTTCTGCTAAAGGTTTCTTCTTCACGAGGGAGTTTTTCCTTTTCACAGTCGCCTTCATGCTTGTTCAAAACGAGAGTTCTGTGATGGAGTTAAATTCAAAGCAGTCTGCTCCACAGATAAATAATGTTAAATTACTTTTATATATATATATATATATATATATATATGAATGTTTCTGTTCAGTGCCCTGTGTCAACTTCTGTTGTGACTTGGCTCTATATAAATAAACTGAATTGAATATGTTCACATTAAAGGCTTATTGATTGTACCATAAACATTTTGCTGCCAAAAATCTATTTTAACTTAAATATTTAATATCGTGTCAAAACTAAAAATATAACGCATATGAACTCACTAATACTTCTGTTTGTTTTTATATAAAATATAAACAACCTGTCAATAATAATATAATAATATGCAAGTCTTTTATTCAGCCTTATGTGTCCGATTTCTCCAGGAAGAAATTTATTGAATCTGATAGAATTTCTTTCAAAGAAATGTGAGTATGAATGTGGATTCTGGGAATTTAATATAACCAAACTGACTTGGTTAATATTTCCTCATTCACACCAGAGCCTGCAGCGCGACATCTATATTAGCTCATGCTTTTGGTATTCTCATGTCGTTTGTGTATTAGTGGAGATTGCACGGTTGGGAAAACTTATACGATTATATATTTTTTTTTTGCTGTTTACCCAGTCACAAGTCTAAAAATTAGACAAATGGAACTAAATATAAAAAATTTCCACAAGAAAGATTTTGTTGATATTTGTTATTTTAGAGTTGCTATAAGTGTGTCATTCTTGTGAACAGAAAACAAAATCTTCTACAAACTATAAATAAAACATGATGCATCTTTCAGGTCTGTCGACCAATCAGAATCACTCTGCAGTGTGCAAAGCCAATAATAATAATAAAATATTCCTGTAAATGCTCTCTCTGATGTTTCTTTATCAGCTTTAACAGCAATTTAGTTTCTGCTTTTTGAAAAAAATAGAATATAAAAAAATGACACTTTACAGATTTTTATACTTTCAACTGGAATTGCTTTATTTTGATAGCATTATAAAACGCAAGATCTGCAAACCCATTTTAGAGTTCTCGTTGCTTTTCTAAACATTTTCAGTCAGCACATTGTCACTAGTTTTGAAACTTTTTTTGAAACACCGACAAGACACGAGTTCAGAACATGTCTGATGTTCTTTTTAGGAAATGTCTTTGTTTCCATTTCGTTACTGTTTTCGCATCATATTTATGTGGAAGTAAAAAAAAATTAAGTGTTTAATATCTGTGTAAAAATAAGGGCAACAGAACTCTTAATAAATTAATGCTAAATTTAGTCTTGTTTCTACGAGAGACACGACACGAAAATATTAAAACTAATCAGTTTTCATACATTTATAGTGCAGTTGTGAATTGTTTAAATTAGAATGCATCACTTGATAATGAAATCTAATTTAGTCGCAATCAACGTCCTGATAATGTTGACATATTTCATCTATAAAACAGTTTGCATTAGACATGAGTTCACTAGTTGAGGAAACATTTTAAACATTGTAATAAGTTTACAGAATGATTTTGTTTGAGCATGGATAAATGTAAATATCAGTTTGCATTTGCATTGAAACACTTGCAGCTTTTCACTTCCATTTCTCATTATCGAACAGTTTGTGTTGTGCACACCAAAAAAGCAAAAGCAAAGTAGAAAGTTTTCTGAGAAGCTCAGAAGGAAGATGTTAAAGCTAAAAGCTACAAGACCACCTCCAACAGTTTCATGTTCCTCTGACCACAGCTGCCAATATTATTTAAAAAAATATAAAGTTCATGGGACTTTATCCAACCTCCCAGAACATGGCCGCAGGAAGAAATGCAACCCCACATGATGTGGGTGGAAGAAGAAGAGCCAAGGAAAGTCAGTTTCAAGTCACACCGTCTGTCACATTTTAAATTCTAATGAGCTACATGAAAGAAGACTCAGGAGGTCTCCACTATTGACAGACAGACAAATAAATAAATAAAAATCAGACTGGAAATCGGCAAAATACTCCCCTAAAGTTCCTGAGAGACTGATAAAACATACCAGGAACTTTTTGGCTGATCACATCAGTGTTTATTATTATTATTATTATTGAAGAAGGATACTGATAAAATTATCCATTTCTGTTTGCGTAAGTAGGATTGTATTTGAGTCAAACGTATGTTTCTCGTTTCTTAATGTTCTGTAGCCTTACAAGCTGCTGAAGAACTCTGGATTCTGTTTAGATCCAAGAATCCTAACTCTACTGGAGTCCCCATTGTACTAAAGTGTACCTTAACAAGATGTTCGCTTACCTCATTTAATATTTCTGCTTGAAGACACCGAATTTTAGCTTCATACCAACATTTGATATTAGGGATGCACGATATTGGATTTTTGGCCGATATGCCAATATTTTATATACTTTCCTTTGTCAGAACATAGCCCTCTTATTTAGGCTCATTTGCTACAAAAATTGTGCAAACGCTGTAAGAGCTGGTGACATATATTCAGTAACAGCCATATGATATGAATAGCACTTTAACTTATATTAAATGAAAAGTGTTAAATGTTATTTATTAGCATTAGTCGCCTGTGATGCTGCCTCACTTGTGGAGGTTTGTTCCAGGTTCCTAGCTGCAGTGTGGGATCCTCTGCGCTCTGTGCATGGACAGACTTTTTTAGTTCAAAGTTTTTGTTTTTGCATTGTGCTGTAACACTAATCATGCTAACGGGGCTAACACGACGT